TTTTATAGTTAAGTCTAATCCATTTTGAGCTGATTTTTGTACATGGCGAGTGTATTTGTACATGATGAGTGTATTAGTCCATTTTCACGCTGTTGATAAAGAAAGACCCGAGACTGGGCAATTTACAAAATAAAGAGGTTTATTGGACTTAGAGTTCCGCATGGCTGGGGAGGCCTCACAATCATAGCAGAAGGCAAGGAGGAGCAAGTCACATCTTACCTGGATGGCAGCAGTCAAAAAGAGAGGTTGTGCAGAGAATCTCCCATTTTTAAAACCATCAGATCTCATGAGACCCATTCACTATCACGAGAACAGCACAGGAAAGACCCGCTCCCATGATTCAGTCATCTCCCACCAGGTCCCTCCCACAACACGTGGGACTTATGGGAGCTACAAGATGAGATTTGAGTGAGGACACAGAGCCAAACCATATCAATGAGAGGTAGGGATCTATTCTCAATCTTCTACATATGCATATTCAGTTTTCTCATTGTCATTTATTGAAGACATTGTCTTTTTTGTAATGTTTGTTCTTTGCACCTTTGTTGAAAATCAGTTGACTGTAGGTACATAAATTTATTTCTCGACTCTATTCTGTTCCATTGGTTTGTCTGTTTTTATGCCAGTACCATGCTGTTTTGGTTATTATAGCTTTGTAGTATATTTTGAAGTCAGGTAGTGTGATGCTTCCAGCTTTGTTCTTTAAGCCAAATTTGCTTTTGCTATTTGGTGTTTTTGGGATTCTATATTAATTTTAGGATTTTTTTCTATTTCCATGAAGAATGTCATTGGTATTTTGATAGATATTGCATTAAACCTGCAGATCACTTTGGGTAGTATGACAATTTTAACAATATTCTTCCAGTCTATGAACATGGGATATCTTTCCATTTATTTGTGCCCTCTTCAATTTCTTTCATCAGTGCTTTATAGTTTTCAGTGTAGAGATCTTTCACCTCCTTGGTTAAGGTTATTCCTAGGTATCTTACTTTTTGGTAGCTATTTGAAATGGAATTGTTTTCTATTTTTTTTCACATAGTTCACTATTAGTGTATAGAAATTATGCTGATTTTTGTATGTGGATTTTGTATCCTGCAACTTCACTGAATTCATTTATTCTAACAATTTTTTTTGGTGGAGTCTTTAGGGTTTTCTATATATAAGATCGTGTCATATGCAAAAAGACAGTTTTACTTCCTCCTTTCCGGTTTGCATGCCTTTTCTTTCTTTCTCTTGTCTAATTTCTCTACCTGGAACTTCCAGTATTATGTTGAATAGAAGTGGTGAAAGTAGATATCCTTGTCTTCTTCCTGATATTTTGCATGATGTTAGCCATAGGTTTGTCATATGTGACCTTTATTATGTTTAAGTGTCTTGTATATTTAATTTGTTGAGAGTTTTTAATCATGGAGAGAAGTTGAATTTTGTCAAATGCTTTTCTGCATCTATTGAAAAGATTGTATAGTTTTTGTCTGTCTGTTAATGTGGTATATCACATTTATTGTTTTGTATCTCTAAGATGAATCCCACCTGATCATAATGAATGATCTTTTTAATGTGCTGTTGAATTTACTTTGCTTGTATCTTTTTGAGAATTTTTGCATCTATGCTTATGAGGGATATTGAGCTATAGTTTTCTGTTTTTATTGTGTTCTCAGTATCTTTTTATTTCTTGCTTCTTACAGACTTATTCTGTTGTATATATCAACATGTTAACACTGTTTTAAAGTTTCATATTGTCATGTATATGCTGATTGTTTAAAACTTTTCCCTTTATTGTAGAAGGAAATCTCTAAGGACTTCTGTTTCTATTTTAATTTTTAAATTTTTTGTATTTATTATTTTAAAAGACTTAAGTTATTTCCTCAAATATTTATTTTCACATTGTTTTTTCTTTTTTTCTTTTTACCTTCTCTAATGCATTTTTTAACTTATTATTTTGTAGTGGCTGTAGTTATGCCACAGACATGACCAAAGAGAGAGCTTTGTCACAGATGAGCAAAGGTACAACCTTTATTCCTTCCATTTTTGTTGTCTGAGCCTCTCATTCCATTTAAGGATAGCTTTGTAAAATCTCTTGTTCTAGTAACACATGAGTTAACTTTACTTAACATACTTTCTGCTTTGCAGATATCATATTTAGTCTTTTGGAAAAGATATTGCTTCCTAAAATTACATACCATCTAATTCCTATAGATGCCTGTTTTAAAGTCTGTGTTTTCTGAAACATAGTTTTTGGCTTTTGGACAAGCAGTGACAATGGAGAACCAGGAGTTAGGAGCATCCCACTTTGGAAATGATCTTCCATGTGTTATGCCTAGCCTAATATTGCTAATAACGTAGATGGTGGTGAACCTCTTTAAAACTGTTCATAGGAGTTGGACCAATAGAAGTTCTTAAATCAGATTTTTGGTATCGCTTTTACACCAGCTGGATCGTAATTTACTTGTTTCCTGGATGATCTAATTCTCTGCCTGGCAGGGTCATAGGATAATCCGTTGGGTATAGGCCTTCTGTATAGGCCTTCCTACATCATTTGTCTCATTATTTGAATTAAGAATGTATTTATGGATACTAAGTAAGGAAAATGAAAATCTTACTACTAGGAATCATATGATTTTAAGTATGGAAAATGGGATTTATTTTCATTAAATTGTTTCATGATAATTTGTTTAATGTTAAATTAAGGATGCCTTTATTTTGTTATTTCTTATGTAATTCTTTTTTTTTTTTTTTTTTTTTGAGACGGAGTCTGGCTCTGTCGCCCAGGCTGGAGTGCAGTGGCGTGATCTCGGCTCACTGCAAGCTCCACCTCCCAGGTTCATGCCATTCACCTGCCTCAGCCTCCCGAGTACCTGGGACTACAGGCGCCTGCCACCACGCCTGGCTAATTTTTCTATTTTTAGTAGAGACAGGGTTTCACCATGTTAGCCAGGATGGTCTCGATTTCCTGACCTTGTGATCTGCCCGCCTCAGCCTCTCAAGGTTCTGGGATTACAGGCGTGAGCCACTGCGCCTGGCTTCTTATCTAATTCTTATTAGGAATTCTTCATTTTAATTGTTGTTGAGTGAATAATATTTTGTCTTAGAAAAGATTTGAGTGTGAAATAAAAAGACTTATTATAGTAAGAAAAATACAAGGTATGGTATTAGAACACCTGGATTGGCATCTTCACTTTATTATTTACTAGCCAAGTAACCTTGGATAAGTCAAATCTTTCTTACCTTTACTTTCTTCATCTGTAAAATAGGAATGATAGTATTACCTCACAGGGTAATTGTGAGACTCAAATGAGATAATTTTTGTGAGGGTGCTTTATAAAGCAGTATATGATATTATAATTCTAAGTAATAACATGTTATTTTACTTGAATGCTTGTATACTTTGTTTTCTAAAGGCGATGTTATTTTGTTGTTGTTGCTGCGACACTCGCTCTGTTCCCCAGGCTGGAGTTCAGTGGCGCGATGTCGGCTCATTGCAGCTCCGCCTCCTGGGTCCAAGGGATTCTCGTGCCTCAGCCTCCCAAGTAGCTGGGATTTCAGACAGTTTTACTGTGTTGACCAGGCTGGTCTTGAACTCCTGGCCTCACGTGATCTGCCTACCTTGGCCTCGCAAAGTGCTGGGACTACAGGCATGAGCCACTGCGCCTGGCCTAAAGGCTATGTTTTGAGAGGCAGTAAAGTTAAACGACATTGCTTAAGGCCAAATTTTAAGCCTTCCTCTTACTAAAAGTATATCCTAACCTCTTTAAGCCTTACCTTCCTCTTCTGTAAAATGAAAATGATAGTAATATCTATCTCACAGAGTGGTTTGAAGATTAAATCAGCTAATCGATGTAAAGTGCTTACAGTAGTGCCTGGTACATCCAATAAATGTTACCTGTCATCATCATCATTCTTAGATTAAAAAAGAGAACTCTTTTCCTAAATTAAAATCCATTATTTACCATTTATCTACTGGCTGCCCTGCTGTGAAGTATCAAGACAATTAATTTAATTTTCCTTAGTGGTGAATATATGTAAATACAATGATATAGTTTTCTTGACTGAAGAAAACTCATTCATGCTGTACTTATTTCAGAGAGTAGATATTCCTGACAAATTGTGTGCATACAGCATTTTTGTAAGTTTAATTATGTTTTGAGTGCAGCTAGGAAATTCAGAAAATAACTCACGAAAATAAATCCACTGAATAATAAATGACCCTTTGAAATGTGATCACTCACTAATTTATTCATTCTTAAAATCAATTTTCACAGTTTAAAAAAGAAATCTGGCTACATTTGTACTCATTAATAATTTGTGAGAATTAATTAATTTATTTTAAAGGAATCACCAAAATGATCAAAGCGTCAGCCTTGAGGGATTAGTTCAAACATGCTGGAGATAACGGATTTAATCAAGTAATTTCTTCAGGTAAAAGCCTAATGTAAGGTAAGGTCTGACTAAGTTTTGAAAAAGACTAGAGTTTTGAAAACACATGCATAACTAAAAGATTGTGTGATTTTTGTTGTGTACTGATACATTTAGCAAGATCTAGGATAGTGTGATAGTTGAGATTAACTTATAATATTCAGGTTAAAAATTTATGCTTTTTCTCTTTTCTGTGGAAGCCATGAGTTATACCTTACCATTTGTGGTTCTAGTATGATTGCTTTCACATTTTGTGTATTAATAATTTGGTGACGTGTACACATAAAAGTAATTAAATGATTGATGATGGCTGCATAATCCAATAATGATTTCAGCCAAAATGTTTCAGTTTTTTGAGACGGAGTCTCACTGTGTCTCCCAGGCTGGAGTGCAGTGGCGTGATCTCGGCTCACTGCAAGCTCCGCCTCCCGGGTTCACGCCATTCTCCCGCCTCAGCCTCCCAAGTAGCTGAGACTACAGGCGCCCGCCACCACGCCCGGCTAGTTTTTTGTATTTTTAGTAGAGACGGGGTTTCACCATGTTAGCCAGGATAGTCTCGATCTCCTGACCTCGTGATCCACCCGCCTCGGCCTCCCAAAGTGCTGGGATTACAGGCTTGAGCCACCGCGCCCGGCAGTGTTTCAGTTTTCACTTAACCACGAGTCTGAGGCTCATGGTTTCTGTGACAACCTGAGGTCAGGTGACCTGGATATGTCCTGCCAAACTGTTCCTGTGGAATAAGTAAGCTGTTTGTAAACAGGATGGCAAAGAATTCTCTCATAAGACTTCAAATTTGAAAAGTATGAGGTAGCAGGGCAATAGGTCACAGGTCAAAGGTAATAAGCCATTTTGGGCCTGTTCTTTTGTGAAGGCTTTGGCTGCCTTTCAGACTGAGGTCTTGGAAATAGTTCACACACAGGCCTTCTGCCAACAGACTACTGAGAGTTGGCTGAGGCAGGATTCTATTGCACAATCCCCTCCCTCTCTTTCTCTCTCTCTGTCTTGATGTCTGAAAGTTACAAAAATGCAAGGAATTTTATAAAAACTAAGTGTACAAAAGATGCAACAAAATAAGATATGTTTTAATAAATTTAGAACAACTTTTTTTCTGAGGGACAGTAGTCCAAAATTTGAATTTACTGTGATAAATTCTTTCAAAATTCGTTGCAAAGTATGTTTTAGAAAAGCAGTAAGTATATTAAAATAACGAAGAAGATTAAAAATATTGGCAGAAAAACTTGGGACAGTTGTAGGCTTTTTGAGGAGGCGATGTATCTCTGTTCCACCTAAGCCACCAGAGGTAGTCTTTAAACAACCTAATAAGATAGTTTAATTAGTGAGCTTATCTATAAGTATATGTTATGATATTTAACTATGTGTGTTGAAGAATACACACACTTATGAAGAAAAAAGGTAGAGTTAGGCTTCCTCAAAATTTCTTGTCTTACTTTAGATTTATTGCTGCTGTTATTCTTGCTTAGAGTAGGAATTCATTACAGGAGTAGAAATAAAGTGAATGTTAGATTTACCTTCTCTGACATTAGAGCTTGGCTTGAAGGACTTTCTTCAGTTCCTTGGTTATTGTATTAGTCTGCCTTACTAGTTTGTTTTCTCTTTCCTGTTTGTATGCTACTATGGAGTTATAACTTCGATCTTGGTCAGTTTTGGTGTCTTTTCACTCCTGGATTGTAATACTTTGTTAATAAAGATGTGAGGCACTGGAAATTCTTAAAGTAGATAATGGAAAGTTGAGAGACAATGAAAAGATGATAAGGGAACCATTCTCAAAAACAAAGTATGAGTCATTAGCCACTTTAACTGTAAATACACTTCGTTGGGATGGTATCAATCATTTGCAAAGAAATCACCCAGTTCAATGGGAAAAGAAAAACATTCCTAATGAAAACCAAACCATGCAGTTTGGATCATAACCAGTGAGACCTTGGCTTTTGTTATTTTACCTGTACTAATGAGGATAGGCATAGGTGGGAAGGATGGGACTTTCCAATGTGTTTCATAAAGTCTGATTTCTTCCTTCCTTTTAGAATAGTCAAATAAACTTTTTTTTTTTCTTTCAAACAGAATTTTCTGGGAATATCTTACTTCATAGGCGGTCTTGTCTTTATCTACTTTCTTCAGTAAACTCTGAAAGAAAAAACTTCTGGAAGTTTGGGCAATCATTTGCCATTATTTTCCTTTCCTTGAATTTCTTGATATCATGAGTACTGCTGCAGTATGGGATATTATGTATATTGGTAAGCAGGCTTCTCTTCTATATTTGTTTTTTATTAAACAGAATGACAAGTTCCTTTTCCCTTATTCATTAACTTCCAGCCAGGATGTTGAAAAATTGAAAAATGGCAGCTCTTAAAATAATACATCTAAAAAGTTTGGGCAGATCTTCATTTATTTTCACCATGTAAAAGTTGTCAAAGACAAATTTGAAAAATATTTACTCCTTTTTTTTTTTAAAAAAAAATTAAACTTAAAAGTAACCTTAGACAAATCACTGAGCCTTTCTAAACCTGTTTCCTTCTCTTCTATAGTAAATGAAGGATATAACCCAGTATTTAAGGTTTCTTCCACCTCCAAACTATCATGCGTTTGAGCAAATATTGTTTCTAGGACTGAAGAACTCTCTGCCTTGCTATCAAATTAGGCATTTTCATCATTTTTTCTCAGTGAATGAAATGTTAAAAAGCAAAACAAGACCTTGATGTATGAAATATACCACAAATCCATTTTAAGAGGGGGCAGTTGGAATTGTATTCCCTTGTTTATCTGTTTCTCTTTGCCACTCAACTACTAGTAAGGTTGTTAGGTCCTTCTGCTGCTGCCTCCAACGAGAGGCAAAGACTAGACTGATGAGACTGGCAAGTGAGAAATCTCTAGGGCCTAAAGGCAAGGAACCAGGTATTCCTTGGTGGAACCGGAGATTCATATTGCTGGTACAGAAATCTCCACTTAAGAGCCATGACTAGTATGAATATATAAAAGCCTTCAAATCGCCTGCAATCCTAGCATTTGGGAGGCCGAGTCGGGTGGATCACGAGGTCAGGAGATCGAGAGACTATCCTGGCTAAAACGGTGAAACCGTGTCTCTACCAAAAATACAAAAAATTAGCCAGGTGTGGTGACACGTGCCTGTAGTCCCAGCTACTGGGGAGGCTGAGGCAGGAGAATTGATTGAATCCAGGAGGTGGAGGCCGTGGTGAGCTAAGATTGCACCAGTGCACTCCAGCCTGGGCGACAGAGCGAGACTCCGTCTCAAAAAAACAAAAACAAACAAACAAAAAAAACCCCCAAAAACAGAAAAAAAGGCTTCAAATTGTAGGTGGGAGGCAGGCCCTTAATCTAAATTAGAAATAATGATATTAAAATCAAAATCTGAGCTTGAGTCTGTCATTTATGACTTCTGTGATTTATTTTTAGAGAAACCTTCAACATGTTTGAGCCATAGTTTTAATTTGTAAAATGGGATACAGAGCTGATGTAAGGGTACAATGAGTCAATTAATGTGAAAAAACTTAGTAAACTCTAAGGCTTATCACACAGGTTATCTCCTGTTTTTGCTAAGTGTAAAAAGTTGTGGCTATTGTACAAAGTAGTTACAGAAAATAACGTTTCCTTTTTTCTGCAACCTAGCAATTTATTATTTATATTTTATATTAACTGACCTACATGTATAAAAATGAGGTTAGAGTTTTACTATAATATCGTAATGTGTTTGAATTGAGAACAAGGAAACCTGTATCCACAACATTTCCTTGATATGAATTAATTTCTTTATTAAAAATGAGGCACCATATGATTAAATAATTCACCTGTGGTCACCTTGGCCTTGACTACCCAGGAAAAGAGATGAAGAGAGTTGCAGGTACTTTCTAGTGAATAATGTATTAAGAGGGGGGAGAAAAAGAGAAGATTTTTGATTTTTTGGTCAAATTTCTGCTTCAATTAAGATGATTACCAAAATTTTCACTATGTCTGTAATCCAGGTGTTACTCAGACAGTGGTGGGTCCTACTATGTTTGAAACTTGACTTCTTTATCTGTCTTCTGGCATATATGAGTTGACATTTGACTCCTTTCAGTCTCAGCACAATTGCCAGTAATTTTGGTGCACCCCATACCTTTAAAACAGGGCTGTTTCAGGAAATTTATTTCCTTCTTTTTTTCTCCAAGAGTAGTAACAGCAGCTTTACTAACTGTCATTTGCATTATGTGAGAAATAATCTTTAGTGTCATTAATCAAGACTTGTCAGCATAAGAATAGGTCTACACATTCTATATGCAAATAATATATTTTTCTTCTTCACTACTTAACATTCTATTTTTTAAAATTTAAGTTCTGGGATATATGTGCAGAATGTGCAGGCTTGTTACATAGGTATACATGTGCCATGGTGGTTTGCTGCACCCATCAACCTGTCATCTACATTAGGTATTTCTCATAATGCTATCCCTCCCCTTGCCCCCAACCCCCGACAGACCCTGGTGTGTGATGTTCCCCTCCTTGTGTCCATGTGTTCTCATTGTTCAACTCCCACTTATGAGCGAGAACATGCAGTGTTTGGTTTCTGTTCCTGTGTTGGTTTGCTGAGAATGATGGTTTCCAGCTTCACCCATGTCCCTGCAAAGGACATGAACTCATCGTTTTTTATGGCTGCATAGTATTCCATGGTGTATATGTGCCACATTTTCTTTATCCAGTCTATCATTGATGGGCATTTGGGTTGGTTCCAAGTCTTTGCTATTGTGAATACTGCTACAGTAAACATATGTGTGCATGTGTCTTTATAGTAGAATGGTTTATAATCTTTTGGGTGTATACCCAGTAATGGATTTCTGGGTTAAATTGTATTTCTAGTTCTAGATCCTTGAGGAATCACCACACTCTCTTCCACAATGGTTGAACTAATTTATACTCTACCAACAGTGTAATAGCATTCCTATTTCTTCACATCCTCTCCAGCATCTATTGTCTCCTGACTTTTTAATGACTGCCATCCTAACTGGCATGAGATGGTATCTCATTGTGGTTTTGATTTGCATTTTTCTTTTTTTAGTATATGTGCTGCTGGAGCACTGATTTGTATTTCTCTAATGACCAATGATGATGAGCTTTTTTTCATAGGTCGGTTGGCTGCATAAATGTCTTCTTTTGAGAAGTGTGTGTTCATACCATTTGCCCACTTTTTGATGGGGTTGTTTTTTTCTTGTAAATTTGTTTAGGTTCCTTGTAGATTCTGGATATTAGCCCTTTGTCAGATGGATAGATTGCAAAAATTTTCTTCCATTCTGTACGTTGCCTGTTAACTCTGATGATAGTTTCTTTTGTTGTGCAGAAGCTCTTTAGTTTAATTAGATTCCATTTGTCAAATTTGGCTTTTGTTGCCATTGCTTTTGGTTTTAGTCATGAAGTCTTTGCCCATGCCTATGTCCTGAATGGTATTGCCTAGGTTTTCTTCTAGGTTTTTTATGGTTTTAGGTCTTAGGTTTAAGTCTTTAATCCATGTTGAGTTAATTTTTGTATAAAGTGTAAGGAAGGGGTCCAGTTTCAGTTTTCTGCATTTGGCTAGCCAGTTTTTCCAACACCATTTATTCAATAGGGAATCCTTTCCCTATTGCTTGTTTTTGTCAGGTTTGTCAGAGATCAGATGGTTGTAGATGTGCAGCATTATTTCTGAGGCCTGTGTTTTGTTCCATTGGTCTATATATGTTTTGGTACCAGTACCATGCTGTTTTGGTTACTGTAGCCCTGTAGTATAGTTTGAAATCAGGTAGCATGATGCCTCCAGCTTTTTTCTTTGTGCTTAGAATTGTCTTGGCTATACAGGCTCTTTTTTGGTTCCATATGAAGTTTAAAGTAGCTTTTTGTAATTCTGTGAAGAAAGTCAGTGGTAGCTTGATGGAGATAGCATTGAATCTATAAATTACTTTGGGCATTATGGCCATTTTCACAACATTGATTCTTCCTATCCCTGAGCATGGAATGTTTTTCCATTTGTTTCTGTCCTCTCTTATTTCCTTGAGCAGTGATTTGTAGTTCTCCTTGAAGAGGTTCTTCACATCTCTTGTCAGTTGTATTCCTAGGTATTTTATTCTCTTAGTAGCAATCATGAATGGGAATTCACTCGTGATTTGGCTGTTTGTCTATTAGTGGCTTATAGGAATGCTTGTGATTTTTACACATTGATTTTGTATCCTGAGACAGGAGATTTTGGGCTGAGATGATGGGGTTTTCTAAATATACAATCATGTCATCTGCAAACAGAGACAATTTGACTTCCTCTCTTTCTATTTGAATACCCTTTATTTCTTTCTCTTGCCTGATTGCCCTGACCACAACTTCCAATACTATGTTGAATAGGACTGGTGAGAGAGGGCATTCTTGTCTCATGCCGATTTTCCAAGGGAATACTTCCAGCTTTTGCCCATTCAGTATGATATTGGCTGTGGGCTTGTCATAAACAGCTCTTATTGTTTTGAGATATGTTCCATCAATACCTAGTTTATTGAGAGTTTTTAGCATGAAGAGTTGGTAAATTTTATCGAAGGTCTTTTCGGCATCTATTGAGGTAATCATGTGTTTTTTTTGTCATTGGATCTGTTTATGTGACGTATTACATTTATTGATTTGCGTATGTTGAACCAGCCTTGCATCCCAGGGATGAAGCCGACTTAATTGTGGTGGATGAGCTTTTTGATATGCTGCTGGATTCAGTTTGCCAGTATTTTATTGAGGATTTTTGCATCTATGTTCATCATGGATATTGGCCTGAAATTTTCTTTTTTGTGTTGTGTCTCTGCCAGGTTTTGGTATCAGGATGATGCTGGTCTCATAAAATGAGTTAGAGAGGAGTCCCTCTTTTTCTATTGTTTGGAATAGTCTCAGAAGGAATGGTACCAGCTCCTCTTTGTACCTCTGGCAGAATTTGTCTGTGAATCTGTTTGGTCCTGGGCTTTTGTTGGTAGGCTATTAATTACTGCCTCAGTTTCAGAACTTGTTATTGTGTTCGGGGATTCCACTTCTTCGTATTGGGAGGGTGTGTGTGTCCCAGAATTTACCCATTTCTTCTAGATTTTCTAGTTTATTTGCATAGAGGTGTTTATAGCATTCTCTGATGGTAGTTTGTATTTCTGTGGGATCAGTGGTGAATATTGCCTTTATCATTTTTTATTGTGTCTATTTTATTCTTCTCTCTTTTCTCCTTTGTTAGTCTGGCTAGCAGTCTATCTATTTTGTTAATCAT